TAAAGGGATTTTTAACTTTATAAAGTATAATTTTTAAGTTAATATTAATATATTAAATTTTAATATCTATATTAACCCGGCTATCTATAGTATTCGTACTATTACTTAGCTAAATTCTATATTATTAAAAAGTACTTTACTATTTTTTAAACGTATTTATATTAGTTATAATAGCTATAATATCGAGCTAATTAAAAAAGGCGCTTAGCTTAAGAGAAGTAAACTTATTAATAAGTATTTTTAAAATAAATTCTTATTAAGGTAATAGTTTATATATTAATAAGTTTATTTAGTAAATTTATTTAATAAACTTATTTAGTAAATTTATTTAGTTTAAATAGAGAGTAGCTTTAAATAATATTAAAAATAATAAAAATAAAAAGAATTTTTATAAGCTCTAAAGAGTAATAAATATTAGCTTATTTAGCCCTTTTTTTTTTTTAAAAAAACCTCTATATTATTATTAAAGTTTAAAACCTCTATAGTTAAGGGCCGCTTTTAATTATTATAGCCGATTATTATAGCTAATTATTATAACTAACTTCTATTATTAACCTTTCTAACTAGTGCTATTATATAAAAAGTAGCTTACTCATCCCGAATTATATAACGGTTTTTATATTAAAATTATTATATTATATTAAGCGCGTACTTAGGGTATATTACGCATATTATCTAATTAAAAAGTATATTATATTATATAATTTCCCTTAAAAGCGTAATCCCGTTAAGGTCGATCTTTTGTACTTATAAAATTAGAAAAAAACTACTATATTAAATAACTTCTTTAAACCCTTATTAATAAATTCTTTTTAATAAAAGCGTTAATCTATCTTTTTTTAAATAGTTTAGCATCCCCTTAAAATATTAAAAGTTATTTAATAAATTCTTTAACTTATTAATAAGTTAATATAATGCTTAGGGTATACTAAATTTAAACTTACTAAGCTAGCTAGTTATTATAGCTAGCTAGTTATAGTAAAAATATTAGTAAAAGTTAAGGCTATAAGTACTAAGTAAATAGTATTATAGTTATAAATAGCTTCCCTAAAGCTATATTTATAAGTTATAAAATAAGTAAGGTTTTAGTAATTAATTATAATTTTATTAAAAAAGGTTCTTAGTAAAAATAGTTAAAAGTAATTATAAAATTTAATACTAAGTTAATTATTAAAAAAGCTATAAAAAATCTATTTTTAAGCCTAGCTTAAGTTTATATTATATATAAGTCCGATTATAAATATATCCTTTATTAATAATTACTCTTATTTATTAAGTAATTACTTAGTAAATATTAATAAGTTTTTATTTAGAATAATTATAATAATTACCTTATTATATTATTATAATTTCTTGTTTATATATAACTTATTTATAGTTCTTTTATTTTAGAAAAGTTATTTTATATTTTTATATTTTTATACATATAATATACTATAGCCGCTATAAGCCTATGGGGCGGGCCCTAGTCTTAGTTATATATATTAGGTCGTAATACTAGTCTTTTTATTATAAAAAAAGTTTTTAAAGGTTTATAAATACCCTTATTCTTATTTAGTAACCTTTTTTATATTTTAAAGTATTAACTTAAGAACTTTAAATATAATTAAAGCTCTTTTAAAAAAGAGACCGTTTTTAATAATTTTAAGAGCTTATTAAACCTTATTTTTAATATATAATATTATTAGCTATAAATTAATAAGTATATAAAAAAGGAATTTATTTAGACGATTTTTATAATTATCATATTAAATTAAAAATCGTAAGTAGGGTTTTTAATTAGTGGCTGGGAAGGAAATTAGGGTGGGCCAAAAGTGGGTAGTTTGACTTATTAGGTAGCGTGGCTAGAAATGGGGGGTTTCTTCTTCGATCGCAAGAAATCCTTTGGCGGAACCCGGCCTTTACGCTCTACACCACGCAGTCCCTGTATGAAAGGGGTTGGGTTGCTCAATCGTCCTTTGGAAGCGGAATTTGAGAAAGGTGAAACGACACTGCGAGTCTCGTCGCCAGCGGTCCTTGTGCAACGTGCCTTTGAATGTTGGGCAGCGGTCCCGCCACCGAGCACGAAGCTTAGTATATACACCGACCTAGGTTTGGGTCCTTATGGAAGATCCGATTGATCTCGGGCTGACTCTGGTAGTATGACGAAGGCCTGCAGATCATGCTTGGTTCAGGTAGCATTTCGGTAAAGAAACAACCCGGCTATGTTGCGGCGCCGCAGCGCTTGCCCCTGTTGACACGTCATCGTCAGATAAGGGTTCCATGGCATCATGATCAGAATTACCAGTCCGAACGCGCCATGATACTATACAAACTATTCCGCTGATTTTGAATTCATTATTGCCTGAAGAGGGCATGAATCATGAAGTGTGCAGTCATTGTGGGCTTAGCATGGGAAGCTCTGCTGGGGTCCTCGTGTAAATCGACCACTGATCGTCCTGAAGAACAATTTTCACCAAGCAGCACGAGGGTAGTCAGATGAACAAGGCAAAGAACCTCGCCTTTCCGAAAAGCATGGAATTCGAGGTCACAAAAGCTTCCATAGTTGTACTTTATATATTCGACCCCGCTGAATGGTATGTGCCCAGCCAAGACTGGCTCCAACGTCCAAGTGAGGCATACAGAGAACCACCCGCCACTGTGAAAGCATTTCTGCTCATCTATACCGTGGATGCCTCCTCCTTACGATACTTGGCGAAGTCTGGGACCGCTGACGCGATTCGGTGGAGAGAGGTCATGTTTTCCTTATACATCTGAGATTGAGAATAAGTAAATAACCACACAGTCAGAATACTTGGGGCAGTTCGCTCATATGATGGCGAAAATGACAAAGCCAGAAGCATATGCCGTCATTTCCAGGACGATTAAACATAAAGATAAGCTTAGCTCACCTGTCCAGCCGAGACCTGCCGGTTTCTGGCTACCTGGTCTCCGGTAAGCAGTTCCGGGATTGGTTTGATGACGGTCTCAAAGTTTGTTGAGAAAAAGAAGGGGATGGCGTATCGCTGTTGTCCAGTGTAGTTCATGACTCGGTGACGAGTCGAGATGTAGAGGTCGTTGGTGAAGGCTTGAAGCTGGTCACCGACGTTGACTATGAAGGTTCCAGGCTTAGGCGGAGCTGATATCCACTCCCCGGCTTTATTCACGACCTCCAGAGCGCGGACGGGTCCTGGTGCAAGAATCGTGAAGACTAATGTCACAATCGTCAGCGCATCTTCTCCAACAACTTTATGTAGGAGGGCGTGTGAGCTGACATTCAGAATCGGTATGGGCATCCAGACCACGGGCCGCGGCGCCTCGTTCTTGAGGCGGGTAATGGGCCAGGACGCTGGCGCAACCGGGGTGAGATGTGCAGGAGGAAAAATAGTCCTCGTCTAGACCTAGTGACAGCGCGACAGACCTGGCCAACAGACGGCAAAAGGCCCGCAATTCTCGATAGTAAGTAGATAGCTGGTCCTCGAAGTCAGCGGGCTCCCGTGGCCATCGGTTGCGGCCCTTCATATACGGGTCGTCGCAAGCATCGTTGGGATCATCGTTCAGCTTCGAATCATGGCCCCATTCGAACGCCTCGTTCAGATCTTCATGCACACAAGTGAGCCAATGCAGACACTAATGGTAGGTCACCTATCGACATGCTGATGGGACGCAGAGGGGTGGGAGGCCAGACTCACTTCCTCGTCCGTCCGCTCCAGGCTTCCCCGAACCCCCGATGGGAGTGTAGCCCCGGAAATTTGGACTATTATCGATGAATACTTCCATTTTCTGCTCAAATGGCAGCGCAAAGAAAGTCTCTGCCGCCTTGAACACGCCTTGAATAACATCGTCGTTAATGCCATGGTTTTGAATGTAGAAAAACCCGACTCGCACGCAAGCGTCCCTAATCTGGGCAGCAATCTTGCGTCTCTCATCGAAATCATCACTTCTAATACCGGCAACATCGATCACAGGTATCGTGTCGAAATCGCCCGGTACTGCACGCCAGTCGTGGTCACGGTCCACGGCCGGCTCGTTATCGTTATCCCAGTCGTTGTAACCCATGGTTGAAAGATGGATTTAAAAGATTCACAACTTCGCAAATGGGGCTTTCTCAAGAAAACAATTAGTGTGCGTATTAGTTGAATAAAATACTTTATTTCCTCTGTGAAGTAGACATCCCCAAGAGCCCCTGTCGGGCTTGTCAATGGGGATCTGATCGGTGGATCGAGAATGGCAAGCGCCTCCGAAGGCATGGAGCGACGGTTCCTACTGCGGCGAAATTTGTGATGCCTGTTGAAGTCTACAGTATATCGAGCGGCATTTTGCTTGCTCATGCGGGCGCCATTTCAGCGCAGCCCCGCGTACCTTAGTTTACACTGGTGCTCCACTACTTTTACATCAGTAAGGCAATTCATAGCGAGGTGGTTCTCAGAGGCAGGACTCTCCGGCGACGTGCTCCTAGCCCAATGAATATCAGTCAGGATTCCAGAGACGCTCGCTTGATGGGAGGTGGCTTTTGAGGCAATTACAAAGGGCCAATTTACAGACTACGTAAACAAATTGCGATTGGCACGATTACAGCGGCGCCAATACAAAAGCACCTGTGAGAGAACAGACAGTCTCTACAGTATTTCTATTGTCGCAGTGAGAAGCCTTACGCATGCGCTTAGGTTATGCCTACAAGGCATCATGGAAAGCTCCATTGTGTAACTCTATGCATGAAATGATACACCGAGTGGTTTTGAGGTATTATGGAATGGACAGCTCGGCTCATCTACAGCACATAGTCATTTGTGCTTGTTAAGGAAATTCTCAATGACCGGAGATTTGTTTGCCTTGGTATTGAGTTATGCTAGTGATCACTACCTGAAACCTCTGCCCCAACTCCCCCCAGCCTGTCAAGGTCAAATAGCAGAACTCCATGAGAGAGTAAGACCAGCATCTACGGTTATCTCTTGACCAGTCATAGAGGTGTTCTTCGCAACCCAAATGTACACATCAGCGCAATCGCTTAGGTACGTCTGTCACAGTGTGTAAGACCTCGTGTCCGAACATATACTGATGGAAGAAAGGCAAACCTCGTGTTTCAAAACAGAGTCGTTTTGCTCCTGAGCAATTTGCTCTTCCGTAAATTGCAAGCCCTGAAGAAACAGGTTAGAAACCAGAGACGCACCAGGAAAGCCTTTCAAGGGCATGCGTACCCATTCTGTCAAGAGCTGACCGGGTAAGATGGCATTCATCCGCAGTTTGGGACCTTGCGTCGCGGCGATGCATTTCATCAGATGCAGGCCCGCTGCTTTGCTGACCGCATACGCCATGCTACTTCCGCTCTGCGTGGAACCCTGAGATGAGAACGGGCAAGCAAGTAAGCCAATGGCCAAGCAAGAAGATAGGAGATTACCGCGACGGGGGCTGGCATAAGGCTTGGCTTACCGCTATGGAAGATGTAATTAAATACACGCCACCTTCTGAATTGGCGTTAAAAATAGGGCCGGCGGCCTGCATGAGCTGTAGGTGACAAAGAGCATTGGTTGCGTAACACTAGTACCCTGTCAGTGAAGATGCTTCGTGAAAGACCACAAGATTCGACGATAGAATAGAAGACCTTGTTCCACTCTTCCAAGCTCAATGCGTTCAGATCGCCAAAGTCGCTGAGCCTCGTCCATCCGGCGTTAGCCACAATGATATCCAGCCCGCCTAGCTTCTCCACCGTTTCCTTGACGATGCGAGCATTGTGGTCGGCATTTCCCGCGTCCTATGCATGAATTGGGTTAATACGGGGCAGGATTTTCGAAATAAGGGGGGGAAGAATACTCCCTGAACCATGAATGCCTTCACTCCAAAACTCTGCACCTTGTCCACGACCTGGCGAGCTCTATTCTCGTTGGAAACGTAGTTGACCATCACATGAGCGCCTTCTCGTGCAAACTGTTGGCATATGCGCGCCCCCAGCCCTCGGCTGCCACCAGTGACGAGGACACGCCTGTTGCTCAGTGTGTAGGGCATGGCAACAAGGGTCTGGGTCAAACGGCTCGATTGATAGTCAAGTGTGGATATGTGAAAGAGAAGAGGGCTCCAAGGTCGATCCTACTCTTGGTATCAAAAGCACTGTTGTGGGCAAGAGATGCCGCAGAATGCGAGGTAGAAATGTCTTCACACGCTTATCATCAGTCTCCGTTAGGCCGGAGGATAAGTAAAATTGCCCTCGGACTGTATTGCCTTCTTCAAAAGTCTATCTTCAAACTTTTACAAGACCTGGGCCGTAACGAGAAGAGTGGACAAGTGCGTTCGGAGAGACTTGCCAAATTGCCAAGCTCCCTGCCAGCCACCCATTCCACCCTGCATTACATGGCATCCTAGTTTCGGGCCGGTGTCTTCTACATATCTTTTCTCTCTGACCAGAAACCCTCAGGCGGCTCGGAAGTCACTCCTCCGGCCTGGCTGAACTTTGTTCATGTATATGGTGGCTCGATCGCACTACCCTGTCTCATCTACAGCAATACGAAGGTTGTGTCAATCGCAATGTCAGATGTTCTGGATGTTATCATCATAGGAGCTGGTCTCAGCGGCCTCCAGGCCGCCGTAGACCTACAGAAAGGCGGTCGAACTATTGCCGTTCTCGAGGCTCGGAACTGCGTCGGGGGCAAGACAAGATCTGTGCAGCGGTCGGATGGGAAGGGCGTGCAGGAGATGGGTGCTGCATGGCTCAATGATAGCAACCAGGCGCGTGTTTGGAACTACTGCCAAGAGTTCGGCCTAACGCCCGTCTTGCAAGCGAACCAGGGACTGGTGGCAAGCGAAGACGAAGACGGGACGTGCCATTTCTTCCCTTTTGGCGCCATGCCCAACGTACGTACATACATGCCTCCTTGCCTTTCTTTGTCCCGCCGGAGCCTGAGCTCCGCCGTCTGACGGCCCGCAGTTCTCAGCGTCAGAAGTTGACAACATCACCGCAATTCGAGATGTTGTAGAGGCGGCGTCCTTGGACCCAGCATCATACCGTCAACCAGAGCGCGCCCGGCTCGATGGCATCACATTCGAGCAATTCTGTCGCGATGCCGGGGCCGGGACTCGCGCCCTGAACACCGCCAGGCTTTGGTGCCGCGGCACGCTCGGCCAGGATCCCAACGAGGTCTCGGCGCTCTCCTTTCTGGAGATCGCTCTTGGTGGGCTGGGTATCATCAATTTGAGGTACGACGGCAAACACGGCGCCCAATATCTCCGCCTGGAGGAGGGTACGCAGGCCATCGCCATTGGAATCTCCAAGATGCTACCTACCGGAACCATTCATCTCAACACCGCGGTCAACACGGTGACTCAAAACTCGTCGAAACTTTGTACTGTCACGGCGACCCGAGGCCAGGTCTTCAAGGCGCAAAAAGTCATTGTCAGTATCCCCGGGCCGTCGTACAAGAACATCAAATACAGCCCACCGCTACCGCCGCTGAAACACATGTATGTCACGGCTTCGAGATATGGTTTCTACCTGAAGTACATCTGCTTGTTCAAGAGCCCCTTTTGGCGACGACGAGGCTCGTGTGGTTTGGCACAGAGCTTCCGAGGTCCTTTGAACCACTGTCGCGATACTTCAGTTGACCATGCCGGCAACTACGCGCTGACGTGCTTCATTACGTCCGCTCCTGGGCGAAAGTGGGCATGCCTGAGCGACGAGGATCGTCGAAAGACTGTGCTCAAGCAGCTGGGCTCCCTATTTGGCGTAGGACACGCCGCAGTCGAGACGGAGCTCTTAGATACCATCACCTCCGAGTGGGTGGAGGACCGCTGGGCCGGCTGGGGCTGCCCAGTGGCCGCAACCCCACCCGGGGTCATAGGCTCAAGTCTCGATGGCGAGATGATTCAGGAGAAGTTTGGTGCAATTTACTTCATCGGAACCGAGCTGGCTGAGGAATGGCGGGGATATATGGAAGGGGCACTCCAGAGCGGAGAGCGTGGTGCAGCACAGGCTTTGGAAGATTTCCGTCTGCAAGATACGAGGCTATAGGCTGCTCGGTGTTCTCAATCCGACTGGCTGGTCTTTAATCTTCTCATTGTGTCGAATGGTTCTGGGCCATTGGTCTTTCCGTTAGGAATACCATAATATTTGCGAAAAGGCGGAAAGGCTCTAACCACAGCTCTTGAGAGCAGCGGCGACTAGGTAAAAGTGGCCATAGAATATCAATAGTTGGAAGAAACGGACATCATCACAAACCTGAGATAGTCTTGCATCGGATGGTTGTACTTCCAGGACCTCTTGCGTAAATATTCCAGAACGACATGAGCTCTGAGTAGGACCACACATGTGTGAACGGATAGCCGGCTTGTGTACATATGCTCATGGAACCAAGCAACGACGATTAGAATAGTACCACAGCAACTCCAGCGCAAAGTAAGGTTGCTCATACCTCTTCTTCCGTCCTTGGAGAGAGAGAAGGGTAGCTGTAGTAATCCGATACTTCTCCTCATTTCCGGAGCCCTTCGACTCCATATAACCCAATCAACGTGTTGAAGGCCTCAGTGGATCAAAGTGAGAATGATAGATGTATAGATCTTTAATTGAACCACCTTAGTAGTCCCAGATTCAACACGCTGCCTACATCTAGCTACGGAGACCCGGTGGATACATCGTCTTCCAGCAGGACTTGAAAAAGCCGGCCTTGCCCACTCCTAACTCTCACCAGCTCTTCTTCCGCCAGCGATCTAGTTCTCTTCTCTCTCTTGTTCACCTATCATTCAAGCCAATCCTAGTGGATTGGAGCGATACATCGAATGGCAATCATGCGATTGTTCAGAGCCATACTGCTTGTCCTGCTACTGTTCAATGGGCATGCCCAGGCACACGAGCGACGCGCCGATACATCTTCGGACACCGACGTTGAGAGATTGAAAAAGTTGCATGAGAAATGGGACACAGATGTACGAGACCTTGGCGCGCCATTCCATGACAAAAAGGCGCAGATGGCTAACTAACTTACCTGCCGGCAGTGGCCGTTTTCCGGCATTTCCACGTTTGCCCATTTGCAACATGTCAAATGCTTGACCAACCCAGACGAGCTCTTTGATGTGGGCATCATTGGCGCGCCTTTCGATACGGCCGTGAGCTACCGCCCCGGTGCCAGATTTGGTCCAAGAGCAATTCGCGCCGCGTCGGCGCGCCAGACGTCCTTCCGGGGCTTCAATCACCGCGCCGGTATCAACCCATACAGCTCCTGGGCAAAGGTCCTCGACTGCGGCGACATCCCAATCACCCCGTTCGACAACAAGCTGGCGCTACACCAGATGACGCTCGGTTACCATGAGCTGCTTTCGCGACCCGCGACGAATCCGGACAAGAAGCCCGTCCTCCTCACTCTGGGCGGCGACCACAGCGTAGCTCTCCCCGCCTTGCGGGCGCTGCGCAAAGCATACCAGGAGCCTATCGCGGTGCTTCACTTTGACGCTCACATGGACACTCTGCATCCGAACAAATACCCCAGCACCTGGACGACAGGCCAGGAGGCCCCCCAGTCCGATTTCACTCACGGTACTATGTTCTGGATTGCCAGTTTCGAGGGGCTGATCCGCAATGGAAGCTCGGTTCACTGTGGTCTTCGCAGCAGGCTAGCTGGGGATGATTTCAGTGACTACGAAGACGACTCGCGGCAGGGTTTCATGAGGATCGAGGCAGATGACATAGACTTAGTCGGCGCGCAAGGGATCATTGACGGTATAATGAAGCGAATGGGTACCGAGATACCCGTCTACATGTCAGTTGATATCGACGTCATCGACCCCGGCCTCGCCCCGGGCACGGGGACACCAGAGCCTGGGGGTTGGACCACCAGGGAGCTGCTTCAGATCATTCGAGGCGTGGGGGGGCTCAATATCGTTGGCGCGGAGGTTGTTGAGGTTAGTCCCGCCTTCGACGGTAGAGGCGAAGAAACAGCACTTGCAGCAGCACAAGTCATCTACGAAATGCTCTCCACCGTGGTATTGAAGGGTATGGAAGAGCGAGGATTGGAGAAGCCGCTAAGAACCGAGTCATGGACGAAGCAGTTTAACACACCGATTCATGGCAATGAAAAGGACGAATTGTGAGATATCATAGGTAGTGAGAGAAAGCTGCCGAGGGCGTTATCCCGGGAAACAATAGACATTTCACAGCCTGTCGAAGTTGATGCTTGGCCTGTGAGAATCAGACGTCGAAGGCTCGCGGGTGTCCTTTTGTTTACGTCGCAAATTAGCACGTCAGTGTAACGTTCTCTGAGCAGTTCAGGGTCGGCTGGGCCGTGTGTAGTGTTCTAGCCCCATTTGACCGTAACACAGGCGTCTTGCAGTGGTTGAAGTTGCTCAAATGGTTGTCCCCAGAAGTTGGGTTATTACGTCAGCTTTTCCCACACCCCCTGCCCCTGCTCAGGCTAAGTTTACTACATAGAGCTAGGCGATCGGTCAGGGACAAGCCACAACCCTGCATGCCACATGGTATGATAGGAAAAGTTTGCCCCGCTTTCCAGATATGTTGCGAGTCTGTCGTGTAAGGCAGGTAGGTCCGAGCCGGCCTAGTATCCAAATAGGTAGGCGCACGTACCTAGCTCTAGTATAGCTTTTTCCACCGAGACCACCATCCATCCCACATCTATCATTACGTGGTACCTTAGATTCCGTGGTGCCGACCTAATCAATCAGGGTAGGGAGGCAATTAGCTGGAAATTTTGTAAATCAATCTGACGCAGGTTCAAATGCCTTAGGCGGGCTAGGTATGGATTAGTAAGGCAACTAATAGGTCGCCGACGACAACACCTGCATCCATTGTCCCGTGCGAGTTCCAATGCCCAACCTTTGACACGCTGCTGAACAAAAGCGAATTGCTGCCAAAAGTGACCGTCCGCTATGCACTCCGTACCGAAACGGCGATCCATCACATTTACGGGGTATGTTTGAAGTGCCCAAGTCCTCGCTGTTGCGAAATACGCCTGTGCTCACCACCGGCTCAGTTGCTGGACTTGCAAAGCACGAAAGATTCGGTGCGATGAGCGACCGTCAGGATGCCAGAACTGCGAACTGAGAGGCAGCGTATGCGGTGGCTACGACATCAAGCTCAAGTGGATGACAGAACCCGTTGTGGAGCCCGAGACGCCCTCTAAACACAGCGGCCAAGGCCGAAGAAGAATTGGAAATGGTACTTGATTGACCTTACCCTATTTTGGAAGGGCACCGTCTAGGGGGCCTGTTGGCTGACAACCCATCAGATCGTGGTAATAGTCATCGATATCACATGGGGCAAATCAAGCGTTTCCTCCTGGACCTCGACAATGATGTCGCCCTAGGTGTTGCGTCTGCACAAGGCCCCTTCTCTACCTTCCCGGGTCTCGTCAGAGAACCTGAGCACGCAAATGTGTCACTAGTACCCCCTCGGGTCCTCTCAGTGGTGCTGGAGAGCCAACAAGAGAGTCCGCTCCCTGCGTACTCTGATGAGTCCCCCGTTCCCTTGAACCAAGACCCTTTGGAGGAGAGCGTATCTGAAACTACCGCTTCTACAACGTCCTCCTCACCACGGTCCAGCAACCCTCACAGTCCAACTGGAGACGCTGCCGCCGCTACAAATCTTGTGGGGCATCCCTTGGAATGTCTTCCGTTGCTGCAGCATGTTCGATTCACCTTTTCACACGACAATGAAGTTGACCTCTTGATACATCATTACGGGCTGCATGTCGCAGACCTTCTGCAGCCTATTGTCCATACCAACAACCCTTACCGTGAACTTTACTTTCCTTCCGCACTCGAAGGAGCCAAGTCGCACGCATCAGGAGGGACGGAAGCTATTGATGTGGTTCAGACAGCGCTCTACCATTCAATAATAGCTTCAGCTGCCTTCCACCGATGGAACTGCAACAAAGCTTCCGATAAGTACAAGCAGATGGGTGCCCATCATAGATACCATGCTATTTGCCTCTTGAGATCTTCCGTTGCATCCCACGCACCAAGACCTCTTTACAGGCTGATACTAATGGCTGTGCTGTCACTCATTACCATTGGAGTAAGTCTTAGACACAAATCCCTTCCGTGTTGTTTCGCACAATTCAATGACACTGATGCCCGATAGGTCATCTCCGGAGCTGGCGATGATTACGTTGTGCACCTCGGGGCAACCAAGGAATTGCGGAGGTCTCGCAGCCGGTGGACAGTCCTTGGTGCAGCTACACGACAGCTCCATGAAATCGCTGCCTTTCTAGGTCTCATGGCTCGAACAACATCCTTTCGGAACTCTTCAACACTATGGACCGCTTCCGAGACCGAAGACAAGCCCTCCAAGGATCTTGCGATAGAGTCTGCATCCTGCTATGAGTACATGTATGGCATCTCACCAGCCATTGCAGCAGCTATCCAAGACACATGTCGATATGCGGAGCAATTGGCTTGGTACCGCGGCCAGGAACAAAAGCACCCTCCAGAGGATCTCCTTGAAGCCTGCGAAGCGCTAGGGGAACGGCTGCTCTCGTGGAGCTCCGCAGATGGCGAACTAGCCTTGGCTCCGGCAGGCGACGATCTGATGAGAGAGGTACTGAACCACCATACATGTGCTTGGTATCATGCCGCTCTCATATACTACTATCGGCGGATTCAATGTTTTACTGCTGTTGATCTTGTCGAGGAAGTAGATCTTGTACTGGAACACATGCGCGCCATGGAAGACTTCAAACTTCGTCCTGAACTCGTGTCGTCGAACAGGATGGCGCCCATTACGTGGCCCATGTTTATTGCTTCATGCGAAGCAAAACCTTCGAAACGGCCCTCATGCATGGAATGGTGGGAACAAGTCAAGCAATACAATCTTGCCAATATCGATAAGCAATGGGCCTTGATCCAGCTTATCTGGGAGAAGATGGCGGAGGCGCAGGATAGGAACGCCGACAACGTCAGTTGGGTGGATGTGTATGTTACTTTGGGCGAGGATATCATTGCTGTGTAATTACGCGATCCAAAGTCCTCCCACCTAACCTGACTGATTGATTCTATGGCGTCCTGTTTGGTTTCGTGTTTTCATTAGCCACGCTTAGCCGCTTGCGATAACCCAGACGCTGTCCCTTGTGGTATATGACAGAGCTTGATCGCAAAAACTCACAGGCTGGGATGCAAGTCGCTCGACAGTTACAGGGGGTGTTCGTCAACATATAATCCGCGGCCACCAACTGGAATGGGTATGTGAATCGCTTGAAGCAAAACTTCATCACCATCCACCTATCCAGTCACGTCTTTGATTGAGCTTTCAACAACCGACCGATCATTTCCATACCCAATATTGGCGGAAGCTTCTGACCGCTATTTCTCTGGCTTGGTCTCCGACACGTCCTCTCGCCCTTCTCCATGCCAAGATGTGGGTCCCGACTCTTTCCCAGCAGGAGCAACGGTCGCGTCCTACTCCAGTTAGCCCGCGCCCGTTCGAAATGAAGTACAAAAAGAATTCTTGGACAACTTACACCAAAGAGTACGTCCATCTGCTCAAGTGTCCGACCAGCGGTTTCGGGATAGAATAATCCATAGCTCAAAGCGGCACAGAGATTAAAGACGAAAAAGGCAAAGAAGTATCGAAACCCTACCGAAGTAAATGCGAGAGGCGACACCTGGGCGAAAACCAAGTTCAATGACCAGTTCATCAATGTAGCGATGGCATTGCCCTTTGCGCGGATCTCGATTGGGAAAATCTCCGCAGGGTAGACCCAAGAGATGATTCCAGTCATGGTGAAAAAGAACGAGAATACGAAGTTCATGGCAACCATTGCCCTGAGCTGGTTACCGTTCTCCGTTGGCAGATACTTGGACAGTACGGCGTTGACGACCAAGGCCAGACCGCAGCCGACAGCGCTGAAAATGAGAGGTTTCACGCGCCCGATCCGCTCGAGAGCCCACAGTCCAATACTGCACCACACAATTGAAAGAGAGCCGCTGATTCCAATAATCATCAACGAGGTCTGGTTGTCGATTCCAAGAGATTCGTAGATCCGAGGTCCGTAGTAGTTGATGACGTTCACACCGCTGAGTTGGCCGAACGCCTGAACACCACACCCTAGCAGAAGCCGACGACGCCACGACGGTCGTGTGAACAAAGCTTTCCAATGAACTGCATTGACAGAACGGTCCGCGATGATGGTGTCGTGGATCTCTTGGTACTCGGCTTCGAGGAAATCATCATTGTCTCCATTTCCGTGCAACCTCTTCAACACCAGCCGGGCCTCCTCATACCGCTCCTTTTCGATAAGCCATCGGGGAGACTCTGAGAGGAACCAGATGCCGACAGCCATCAAGAACGCGGGGGCTACCTGAAAAGCGAGCGGGAATCGCCACTGGAAGTGGCTGTCGACGTGTGAGCAGCCGTATCCGAGCCATTGGGCGACAAAGAAGCCCCAGCTCAGCATCCATTGCAGCAGCCCAGATAACGCTCCTCTGATGTCGGCCTGAGCGATCTCCGAGCAGTACATGGGTGTCACAGCGCTAAGGATTCCGACGGCGAGGCCTGCGATGAGACGTCCGGCGATAAGCATGGGGATAGTCGTCGCCCCAGCTTGAAGGGCGCATCCGAAAATGGCTGTAACGGAACCGGTGAATACTGTCAACCGTCGTCCGAGGGCATCTGCAAGAAATGATACGACAAGACACCCGATAATCGCTCCTCCCGTGAAGGAGGAAACGATGCCACCGGCCTCCGAGTCGGATATCGAACCGCCGAAATATTCGATAAAGTGCTCCTGGGCCAGTGTGGAGGAAATGATACCACTGTCGTAGCCAAAGAGGAATCCTGAGTGGAGTGTCAAGACATGACAGACAATAGAAGTCAAAGCTAAGGCAACTTACCGCCTATGGCCAGAAAGGCCCCAGAAAAGATGGTGATCAGCTTCCCCATGTTGATAGCTCTGAATAATCACTGAATATGGTACAGACAAGACATGTAGACACAAGCGTTGGGGGAGAATTATATACCAGCCCGTATGCAGCACCTCGAGACTAGTGACAACCAGTTACTCGACATCAGCATGATCAATTTAGCGTGTCTCCAGTGCAGCAGTCTAAACCTGTGAGGATTCCATTTTGTCCCAATCAGACCGCGCACCCGTTTTCCGGGCAACGTTCTCCCGAACGTACTGGAGTGAATATGGCTTAGCACATGCCTGAAGATGCATTTGCCCCATGGAGAAGTCCCCGGATTCGCCCCAGAATCGCATTTCCCCGGAATAGCAAGACCTTCTGACAGCTGGCTTCGGGGGAGTTGATGGCGATAGTAGCCAATGTTCTTGGGTGCACTGTCGAGCCTTGTCTACCAGATATGCCGAGCCCGACGCTAAGTTCCTTGGATTCTCATCATTCGGTGCTGATTTACCCGATTGACAATATTTCATGACGACTGAATGCCAGGGTGCCAGCGAGGGCTGTCTGTTGGCAAACCAAGCGGCCGTAATAGAGGTTGTCACCACTGACTTGATAAGAAAGTGAGTTCAGAAAGCCACACTGCCGTATGTGGTTTAGGGGCTAAACAGAGGCGGAATTTCCCATAGCAGGGGTTAGCCTCCACTTCAAATGGGCTGCGAATGTACCTAGTAAACGCGTATGAACGTGTGTCTGATTGGTCCTTGGAATTGGGGGCTCCTTAGATAATCAGAGTTTTACCTCCCAGAATATGCGGGGGGGGGGTGGGTGGAGACACAATTCTAGCCAGCGGCGTCCGTATTAGCAAGAATCTCCGAGGCCGGCCGACTTCTGCCGGCGCGGCACTCCGCCTTACGTAAGGTCGGTATGCCACTTCTCTGGCCGCCGTAGGCAGTGTTCCTAACTAGCGATGCAAGCTAGTTTCCGCATGATACGACTTGACTAAACACGCATTGTACTATTTACCGTGTCAAGCCAGACGCCTGAGGGGGTAAATTATAAATTAGTAGCTTTACTTGTCAAGCGTTGATAAATTTCCCTTCAATCATGGTATTGGTATTATTATTTAAGATATTAAATATGTCCATGGGTTAAATACTTCGGAGAATTCAATCATGACCTTCAGATAGTCGTAATGAAATTGCTTTTAACTAAGGAAATTTATAATACATATAAGACTTAGCTACAGTAAAGAGTTTTATAACTCTTGTTAGGGGGGAGGGGTATGGTTGACGGTTTATTCCCATAAGATATCCTCGGTATTCTTGTGTTGCGAGCGGATCAGAGCAGACAACTAACTATGGCAAAAAGGAAAAGCTTCGGTATGACCTCCCTAGCACTGTTACCCCCTATTCCGTACACAATAGTCACGCGAACCGCAACATTGTGCTTGCCCCCACGCGCAGGGGGTACTCAGTAAGATCGCAGAGCACTTGGGGTATGCTATCCCATGCTATCGCTTTGTCTGAGGCGTCATGGTTTGCGAAGTCTTTTTTCTTCATTCGATTTTGTCGCAAAAGATGACCCGAAGCCCGTCGGCTCGTCTACGTTTGGTTGCCCTGGATGTAACCAAACATGGCACTATCAACGAAAACACTTTGCTTGCAGGAACACTAAGCCATGGTGAGCCACCCACGTAAGTTGTCGGAAATTGCTTGACCGAGAAGTCAGGGACGGAAATCCCCCTTTCTCCTTGGCTCCCCGCAAAATCCATCTCTGTGCCTGTGTCTCAACGCGGGGAACTATGGGATACCTCGGATGTTGCTTTTTCAAGTCCGAAAGAGGGACTACAGTGAGCCGTCATACAATATTGAGAAGATGGAGTGATTCAACAATCACTGGACTATAGCTAAGTCTGTATTAAAAGGTCACAAAACCTCGTCTTCAACCGATGAATCTACGCAAACTCTCAACACTGCGCCGATACATCTCCACGGAAAACTTCAACGCGCTAGAGCCTTTGCCGCAAAAATGGCTAAATGCAGCATTTTGTTTCATGCCCTAGTTGTGGCCTTTGTTTCGGGACGTATTGCCTCGGCTGCTGGGACCGAAGTCGATGGGACCAACTGTCAGCTAGAAGTACCAGAAGATGCGGTCTACAAGGACCCGAAGGCAGACCTTTCTGACCGTGTGGCTGACCTCCTGTCTTACATGTGTTGGGACGAAAAGATCGCTCAAATGGGGGGCGTCGGCGGAATCCTTGGGCAGAACAGTACCTACGATGCTGCCCAATATCTGGACAGAGCAAAGCTGCACAACGGAACCATCTGTAAGCGATTCCTGCCCTCCGTGACCCGTTTCAACAAAAAGCAAGCTAACTTGAAGATGAACAAGCTCCCGGTTCATACCTCAACTACGCTAAAGATGCGGTCCCTGTCCTATCGGATCTCATCGTCGCCTCCAAGAAGGAACACCGGCTCGGCATCCCTTTCGTTCACATTGGAGATGCGGTCAATGGCCCGACACTGCGTGGCACTACCCTGTTCCCGGAAACCCTGACGATGGCAATGGCCTGGGACCTACCTCTCTATACCACTGTTGCCGCAGCGCTGAGGGATGAGCTTCATGCGTGTGGAATCACGTGGGTACTCTCACCTGAGGTAGACGTTGCGCGTGATCCGAGAAACGGTCGCGTTGGTGAAACGTGAGTGCATAGCCCGTTTTCTTTGCGTTATTTTCTATTATCTTTCACCTTATTCTCTTTTGTTTTGATTCCCTTTTTGAAGAAGCTCTTCGAAGATCCCCTGGCTGATTGTTAAAAGGTACGGCGAAGACCCCTGGATGAACGGTGAACTTGCCGCGGCCTACATCGGTACCGTCCAAGAAAAGGACTCCGACGGATTCATGAAAGTAGCCACTACGATCAAACACTACGTCTTTGGTACATCTACTGGTGGCGTTAACCAGGGCTCAATCCTTGGCGGCAAGAACCACATTTACAATATTCTAGCGCTCCCATACATCAATGTTCTCCAGAAGGTCACTCCGGCCTCGCTGATGCCGTCTTATGCCACCATCGATGGCGTCCCCGCCCACCAGCACAAATTCCTATTACAAGATCTACTCCGCCAACAACTCGGGTATAATGGCGTTATAGTATCTGACGCGGACGCCATTGTCATGCTTTACGACACCCACAAGACGGCCAGCACGCTCAATGACGCCGGAATTCAATCCTTGGAGGCTGGCGTGGAACTCGAACTTGCGATCCGATTTCCCACGGCCTTCGAGTCTCTCTCCGGCAATCAAACAGTTGAGGGCGTGGCTGGAAATGTGAACGAGGCAGTGTCGCGTCTTCTCAACCTGAAGTTTGAATTGGGCCTCTTCGACAGGGACCTCTCGGCGAACACCACTGCCCTGACTGAGGTACTGAGGTCCGAGGAGCACCTGGAAGCCAACGAGCGCATCACGAGCGAATCCATTGTTCTGCTCAAGAATGATGGCATACTTCCTCTATCTGCAAACCAGAAAGTGGCTGTTTTGGGTCCTCTTGCTGATGTTGTCAATACTGGCACTTATGCTGCATGGACAAATGCCGAGAATGGAAACCTCACTTTCTTGGATGCAATTACGGCGACCCTTGGTTCCGACAACGTCAAACATGTCAAAGGCGTTGAGATTACTTCGGAAGAGAACTCAAGTATTGACGAGGCCGTCGCAGCGGCTAAGGACGCAGGCATAGCTATCGTTGTCATTGGTTCTGTCGCGGTGGGCTACGAGGACAGTCTTGTCAATGAGCGAACAGATGGAGAAGGACTCACTCATGCGTCTCTGAAATTTCCTGGACTTCAGGGGGATCTATTGAGCGCTGTGATTGGATCTGGTGTCCCCACTATCATCGTCCTTAGCGGTGGTCAGGCGTTCGAGCTGTCGGGCGTTGCTCAGGATTCCCAAGCCATCTTGCACACCTTCCTCGGCGGCGAGTTTTCAGGACGCGCGCTAGCCGATATCTTGATTGGGAAAACAAACCCCAGCGGCAAACTCACCATCTCATTCCCTGCCTATTCAGAGGTTAATCCGGTTTACTACAACCACGAACCCAGTGACTGGCAGGCTGCAGGGGCTATTCAATTCCCGTATCTCTCACACAACTATCTTTACCCTTTTGGTCACGGACTCAGTTACACTACTTTCAACCTCAGCAGTCCTAGTCTTGACAAGACGACTTATGGCAAGACCGATACTATCAAATTGAGTGTGACCGTCTCCAACACCGGGTCTGTAGATGGGAAGCAAGTTGTTCAGGTGTACTTCAGGCAGCAGGTTGCCCCTCTGTCGCTTCCAGTAAAACGACTGATTGGGTTTTCGAAGGTTGATGTGCCTTCCGGTTCATCGATTGATGTTGGAGTTGAAATTCGCGTTGCCGAACTGGGTTACTGGTTGGAAGGAGAGTACAGAGTTGACTCAGGTGGATATGAGATTTTTGTTGGTGACAGCTCCGACGATAACAGCCTTAGCGGCCCTGTGGCTATTCACATTGAGTAGAGTTGGTTAGCGAAATCGAACCTCTGCCGAATATTTCCCACATGGTTCCTTCGCGTGACCCATGATAACCCCATGTCACTCGTCAAAGCGGTTTTGGGGAGATGGATGTCACAGCCCACAACGCAAGCAGGCAATGTGATCCTAGACGCGCTGAAGTAGTGAAAGACAAGGAAAAGACTCACTGATATAAGGCGAATAGGGAAATTAACATGGGAGAATCTTGCAATACGAGGTCTCCCAGATGTACAGATTTGGACACGTCTTCTAAGTAATGAAAGCCAGTTAAACAGGTACAGACTCTACGGTCGGCAGAGCCTATTCGAGTGAGTACAGCCCCACTACACGCGGGTGTTCTCCTTTCCTCGGTTGCTACCATATTCTTTGAACCCCTGAAGATTGAAGGCGACGAGTGTATCGGGATCTGGCAAATAGAACGCCAGCGCAGCCTAGAAAAATCGCAAGAAATGGGCAGAAAGGCATCAAGGAGCCTGTATAAGGGAGCTTAGTCGGGCAGGCCTTGGGCGGTGCCAGCACGGTACCGGCTAACATAGACAACAGGCATGCACCGGTGTACGCGGCGACACACGTAGTGGCGAGGTCCACAAACCAAAACAGGACGTTCGCAGCCAGGTTTGACTACACGAGGAATTTGACGCAGTGAGTAAAGCCTAACGATGGCGGAGAAGTATATAGGCACACCCTCATTGATGCAGGTTAGTAATTTATCGAGCGCTTGGCCGTCTGGCAGTGCCTATACCTAAAATCAATCAATAATAACAATCAAGCCAGCAATTAAATACATAGTTTTTAGAGAATCTAATAATGAAATGTTTATTTGTAACCGTAATATATTTGATACAATACTCCCCAGTAAGATAGGCGTAAAAAATACCTATGATATGTCGAAGGTGGAAAATAAGAAGGGACCGCTCAGATCCGGACCTCGGGAATTAAAATGGGCCCGGCCCAAAACTTTAGCCAATAGCATTATATACAAATTATTACTAACTTCCGTAACAGGGAATCACCTAAATCTATTAAATATTTGTCAAACATAAGGCGAAAGATAAGGAAAATTGAATTATGAACCCCATATCTAATTCATATGACGGGGCACAAGCGCGGCCGTCTGGCGGCGGGTCGGCACTGATCTATCAATCCTGAAGAGGTTGCGTGTCGCAGTAGGGGGTTGGGGGAACTTTGGTACCTCGTGCAGAATTGATAGCGCTCATTTTCGGGGGGTCCGTGGCGCCGCAGACGAAGCCGACGGCCAGGACACCGATGATTTACGCCGTAGAACCCTACGAATGGTAGAAGATAAGCTTGGCCACCAGCAGGATTGCCCTGCCCGAGTTCTGGCTCTCACTGTACGCTAGCGCAATCCGGCGCCGGCGATCGTAGAGGCCACGTAAAGGATGAGTACAGACCTAGGAAACAGCCCGTGGCCCCATCTGTATACTAAGGGGTCATCACGCTCCCGTTGCCCTGATGGCGGAAGCCTTAGTCATCGTGATGTGAGTTTTTTGTCCCACAAATGATGATCAGGGTAAGTAGGACAAGGCAGATAATAAGAATGATCTTGGCTGACGCAATGCAAAATTCGGATTCGCCTAATTACCTGTAAGGTAATGGAAAGTGAGGATGAGCGTACTCTGCCGAGGCAAATTAACAGGTCCTCACCTAACGAAGAACACATTGAAAAAGATACAGACCACCACGCATACAGCTATCCATGCGGCCGGGTTGATCCTGAGATTCCAGTACTACATGGCGGTCGCCACAGCGCTGTACGCAACACAAACTAGCATCGTTGCGGCAAGGGGGAATGCCCAGCCCATAGGAAAGCCCAGAGTCAGGTAGACATAGGTAACAGCTCGCAAGCTCGAAAATGGAGCCGCGGGTGGAAGGATAGGCATACATCCTAGCCACGCATTCATTACGTGGCCAAATAACGAGAATGACCCAGATGCGGCATCACAGGAAGAGAGACAACGGCCCCATCTCAGTGAGCAAGAGCTCAGTGCCGATGGAGCCGCCGATCACCTTGGGCTGGACATGTCGGGGGGCTGTTTCTGTCGTATTTGGTGCGCAGCCAGTTTGTATTTTACCCTTCAAGTACTAATTTGATGATTAATATGGCGATCCCAAAGCCGGGGTCTGGAGTTTTATGCATTTGGTCGGAGGTAACCATCTTTTCAATGAATTGGGAGAATAAGAATTTTAATGATCTCGGGGAGCCGAAGAATACATGCTCACACAAACGAGCGTCGGCACGAGGCAGAAGATGTTGTAAAGTCCATCACCTCGGGGTTGATGGCTGCAAGTATTCAAGCTATACATCTATCACAATCGGAACTTCAAATCGGAACTTGAAATTGAAGGGATGGAGGCGAAATAGACCAATGCTGCCAGTGGCGCAGAGCTGCATTCCAGGCAACTAGAGATGTCAAAGAAGGGCAGCACACAGCATGCGGGGTTTCCAAGGCTCCAGCGATGTGCCTCTGGTCCGGTCTTATCTTGGATGATGCACTCAGTACTTGGCCCTGGGAAGGCACATTATCTCCTTAGCAGCAACAATGTATCCAGTACGGGTCATTCCGAGGCAACAAGCTAAGAATATCCTCAGCTTCAATTACTGTGTATTACTGCAGTCGGATGGCATATAGGGACCCATCTCCCAGTACAGGCTGGAGGGAGAACACGCTCAGAGTGTCACGAGTTATGGTACACAGCAATGGGCGTTTGTGGGCTAAAAGTGGCTTCTGCGAACCCATCTCGAGCGCAAAAAAGAGAGCAGTCTACGTACTGAACGAATGTAAGATCCACGCGAGAAGGTACGGGGCAGAATGCCCAGCGAGTGCTGATACCATTCTATTCCGTGACAGAGGGACTGTTCACGGCCTGATCTTTGATAATTTGCATACCACACTAATATCGGCTGTGTCTGACTACCCGAACTGCTTTTCAGTATTTGTGCCTGGTCGAAAAATCACGAAGGAATAAACAGCGGCAAGTTGACGGATGCCTAGTACGCTAGATTATCCTGCGAAAAGCATGCAACATGAGCGAGAGCAAATGTGAAGCGCTGAGAGTCCTTTTATTTCCTAATTCAACAAGCTCCCACCCGATTCCTGCAACTCGTATTCGTAGTCGGGTTGGAATTCCAACCACATGGATTCTGGCGTTGTGAGTCTGTATGTGTACTCTGCCTCTTCATGAGGACATATGTGCTTTCGAATCCCAGAAGCCGAGGCAGCCTCGGCGAGCAACTGTGCCCGACAGGTATTCTCCATTAGCGTGAAGAGGAACGCTGCCTCGTCGACAGTGCTCCCTGTCGTCAGAAGCCCATGATTCTTGAGAATCGCGCACCGTTTATCGCCCAGAGCACCTGCGATTCGCCTGCCTTCTTCACCTTCAAAAGCGATACCGCCGAATGTATCGTAAACAGCATGGTCATTGTAAAAGGTGCAGGCATCCTGGTTCAGCATCTCCAGGGGTCGGTTGAAACAAGACCAGGCCTTCCCGTGGATACTGTGGAAATGGCAGGCAGCGTTCACGTCTGGTCGGGCGGCGTGGAGAGCTGAATGAATAGTGAAGCCGGCATTATTAATACAAGCCTGTGCTGAATTAGCAAGGCATTTCCACAGATCAATAAGGCCTCTCACCTTGTTTCCGCCTATGACCTCTCCATTCATATTTACCTGAACAAGGTCGCTAACTCTCATCATTGCAAAATGTCGGGCTAGACTGTGCAGAAATCAGCGACATGTACGCCGCGGCCGGAGTCCTAGATAATTACGGGTTGATCCAGAATGTGTCAGGGTCGACGGGATCCCGGACAGATATGTGTCCGGCAGTACCCTCGAGGTAACCTTTCCGTGCCATGACCCTAAAAGCTCCAGCCATATGCTCCAATGCCCATTGCCGTGCCTTGTAGGGATCTACGAATGTCGGGATACCTTCAATTGGAAAGCCTCGTCCGATGGTAGCACCCTCTCCATTGAGAGTTGAGAGGCCATTCATGAATGTGTCATCCACGCGGCGCAGTCCGACGGACTTCCGAACAACTTGAGCATCCTCATCCAAGGTGGTGGACATCCTGGAAGTCAGTGGTACTCGTGAGGCAATTCTTGTTGTTGTGGCCGTCTGCGCCATGTTAGCTATCGAGCTAGAATGAGCAAGTATAAGGCTGGTGTGCCGATGATGTGCAAAGGAGGGCAGATGGCGATTCGAGAAGGTCGATAGTTCATGTACTATACGAGAACTCATCTCATGCAGGCACGAAAGACCATGAGGAGGGTATGAATACCTCTTCAAAGCTTTCGAACGTGTTACCTGACTAGTTTCAAATCGCATCGGTGCCCATTCAAACGAATGAGGACATTCGCAGGTCTGAAATTCGGGCAAGTATCTCCGAGCCATAACAGCCTGTCCATGATTCCGGGGTCGATTTACACACGCAACAATACGTCTGAAACCCACGAGTCAACATTCCCCATAAGAATGTACCATAAGTGCAAAGTGGCATAGCATTTGACGAAGATGAGAGCTGTTTGATTTGGACGGTGACCCTTGTGTGTCAGTGGGTCTCAAAGTACAGCTTCCTGGTCCCTGTCGTCTTCACAACCGGAGCTGGCCATTTCACTAGGAGATGACTGCCGTCTGGGGGTGAACCCAGGTGCGAAATATCTGTACTGTTAAGGGAAGTCAACTGCGAACGATCCCCACAACTGCTCGACCAAATCAAAGCGCCAACGGCTAGCGCCAGCCAGCCACCTCCAATCTCACAACAGCGCCGCCAGGCCAGAGGAAGAAGAAATCCGCATGGTCTTCCAGGAACAACGATGGGTAAGGCCCGCTAAGGGAAGCGGCGTCTGGCTGACCATTGCGGCCTGGTTGGCTGTTCATGGCTAGCCTGCCAGCTCTGCTATAAGAAGCAACGCCTGTAAATCCAGACACATTATTGAGGGACAAGTCACACAGCCCAGCTTCATTGGCCATCTTCGCAAACAAACCATGTCGTCCGCACGCCCTAAACCCACAGATCTCGAGCATCACTTCTCCCAAACGTCAAAGAAGAGGGCGCCGAATGTACTCAAGGAGTACTACAAGTATCTTCGGATACCAGAGATGGGAAATTTAGCCGGTGGTATGTCTCGGCGGCAATGATGTGCCTATGTGTACCAAAATGGTGCAGAGTGTTGACTGTAATCTTCAGGCCTCCCCAGTCCAAGTTACTTCCCTTTCAACAACGTGGATCTTTCGCTATCCAACCCGGACTCACTTGGTCCCTCGAAATATTCTGAGGCGGCAGGGGGGCAGACACCCCAACTACGCATCCCTCGACGCGGGGACGAGCCGGGATCCGTCCGCAACGTTGACCTGACCACCGCGCTCCAATATGGAAGCGCCTCGGGCTTTCCCCCGCTCTATGCCTGGTTGAGGAAGCTTACCACTACTATCTACCACCCGAACATTCCGTATGACGGCGACGCTGACATTATCGTCAATGGTGGATCGGCGGATGGGCTTTTCAAGGTCTTTGAACTCTTATTCAATCCTTGGGATAAAACTTCTGGTGATGCGCGGAATCGCGAGGGCTTGATCGTGGAAGAATTTGTGTATGGGCCTCCAATCGCTCAGCTCAAGCCCAAGGATGTGAACATCGTACCGGTTGCAATGGACACCGAGGGAATGCTGGCATATGGTACGGGAAGTCTCTGCCATGTCCTTGAGACATGGGATTCCGAATTAGGGAAGAGGCCCCATGTTGTTTATCTTGTTCCGTGAGCATGCTGTCGGCGACCTCATACTATGACGACTAGCTAACAGGGAACTAGAACCGGCCAAAACCCGACATCCGGAGTGCTTTCTCTGCCACGGCGGAGGGAAATCTATGATATCTGCTCGCGGTTCGACCTCGTCATCGTCGAAGGCGACCCGTACTGGAACCTGTACTATCCATCAACATCCACCACGCCCAACTTCCCTAAAGACCCGAACCATAACTATTGCGTACACGACCTGCGGGGCAAGTCGACAGGCTACGCTTTCCTCGACGAGCTCGTCCCGAGCTTTTTGAGCCTTGATAATGACGGCCGCGTCATACGACTCGACTCCTTCTCCAAGACCGTCGCGCCCGGTTGCAGGCTTGGATGGGTCACAGCGCAGCCGAGTGTGTGCGAGAAGCTCTTTAGGATCACGGACGGCACCACCCAGCAACCCTCCGGCTTCGTGCAGGCCATCGTCACGCAGTTGATTGGTGATTTCGGTAGGGACGGCCCCGCTGAGACCGCGATTTCGGTGCAGAAACCCGGCGGCTGGGGGGTGGGCGGCTGGATTAATTGGCTTGAGGGCTTGCGATTCACCTATCAACGCCGGATGGAGAAGATGGCTGCAATCTTGGAAGAGAATAGGTTCTTGGGGATAGGCGGAGTTCAGACTGAGATGTTCTCGTTCCAGCGGCCCGCGGGTGGCATGTTTATCTGGGTCAAGGTGAACATCGGCAGTCACCCGCTAACCTCTATCAACCCGCGCCGATTAATGCAGGGGTTGTGGGTTCACTGCACCCAGCACCCATATTGCATACTGGTCGTCCCGGGCGGGGATTTTGCAGCCAACCAAACCATCAAGAGGGACCTGGGGTACGTTTTCTTCCGCTTCTGCTTCGCAGCGGTGGAGGAGAGCATCCTAGAGGCCAAGTCGCGAGCATTCGCAGAGGCCTGCGAAAGTTATTGGGCCATTACTGACGTCAAGGTCATCAATGAAATCTTACACGAGGAGGACCTGGCCAGACAGATGTACGAAGCCGGATATGACGATACCAGCTTTGATCGAGAGGTTGTTCACAGATGGTAAGACAAGAAGCAAACCCATAGCGAGAAACAATGGAAATTAGGTCTCAAACGTGATGCAACACCAATTGGCCTTGAATTGCTAATTCTCGTTCAAAAAGAACTCATCTTGAGTCATGTCATCAACTCATGTTCGTTGTTTGTACTTCCACTGTCTGGCGCGAAGAAGATTACATAGGATCGTCAAGACCGGGGCCTCAATTTTTAGCTCCTGCGCGATCCGCAGCGGGTTGCCAAGAATAACCTCCACCTCCATCGGCCTGTCCATCATCGCGTCAACCTGCATGCTCGGTTTGAGTCCAATCGCTTCAGGTGTGAACGAAATCATCTCATCCTGAATACCGGGCTGGAGCCCATAACCAGCGGCCTCCGCGATAGCTACGACCTCATCCATAACTGGACGTACCAAGGTGTCGATGTACCCGGCGGCTTGGACCGCACCAGAGTCCAGTCCAGTGATGGCGCACACTGGGTTGAACGAGGCATTCCACACGAGCTTCATCCATCGTCGCCGCACAATGTCTTCGTGGATCTCGCAGGTAACGCCACCGAGCGCGTAGAGTGCCGCAAAGGTGCTGCACACGTCCTCCTGCCTCCGCCGGTGAAGACCTGGGCTCGGAAAGGGGGCGACGTGCAGCTTGTCTGGGTCATTGTGCAGGACCTCGCGGCCATTGAGCTCGCACCCGATCATAGTGACACCCGAGAGCACGACATTTTCAGGGAACGCGTCGACGAAGGGCCATTCTATGTCGATTCCGTTCTGGACGAGCACGATGGATGTCCGGCCCGGCGTGACGGCCAAGGTAATAAGATCCGGGATAGAATAGATGTCGGGCAGGCTTTTCATCGCCACAAGAACGTAGTCGAACGGGCCGTGCCTTGCCGCGTCCGATATGTTCCTTTCCACTAGACGCCGCGCAACCGGTATTTAGGTCTTCCTGATAATCTAACGGGTACACTGCTGAACTCTTACCGTGATGAGGCTTCCAGTCTAATACCGTTCCGTGGTCGACGCTTCTGATACAGAGTCCTAGACGCTGCACCTCCTCAAAGTTCGAGCGGAAAACTCCCGTGACGGTGGCCACCTTGGATTTGTGCAGGGCATAGGCACACATGGTGCCGACCGCACCGCAACCCACTACAAGAACATTGGCGGCTTCTGACATGATGGTGCCTGGTGGAGCTGTTGACACCAGCTAGAACCATAGACAAGAAGGCGAGGGGATGTACCGGTAATTAATAACATTACGCGCAAGAATACTCCAGTGTTATACAGTAAATTCTCGCGGCAGTGCCTGCGAACCTTGTGGCTCTCTCAGCGCAGAAATGAAAGGTGTGGACTGGAAATACCTGAAGGGCGTATTACTCATTGTAAGGATGCTTGTCTTGAGACAAGCCTGTAGCAAGTCAAAAGTACATCTAATCTCGGTCGTCTCATCGGAACGGCTAGTCCAGATCGATGGTATTATTGGCAGGCCTTGTAAAAAGAGAAGGCAACTCCGAGTACATGAACATGTACCGTGTCAAAAAGGTGGGTTTGCAGATGTATATACATTCAGAGCTTGCTTTCTGTTGGATTACGAGGTAGAAAAGGGACCCTATTAGGTAGTTAGGTAGGGGTGGTAGGTAGGCAGTCTGGGCCCGTGCAGACGGACCCTTCCACCTACTTACACTTATAGAGGGATCGCGGGCCCTGCTTACGATCTTCCCCTCTTATATATACGTAATAGACCTATATTAACTTATTAACCTTATTATAATTAAAAGGTCTAACCTACTTATATATATACTAATACTAATTAATAATTAAATTATATATATATTTTTATTATAAATTAATAAGGATATAATTATAAAAAAAATAGCCTCGACTTATTTTACTAACTATTTTAACTTATTAACTTAGTTTTATTTATTTAATTAATAATAAATAACCTAGTTTATATTACCTTAACTCTTTTTTATTATTACTAGTTAATAACTAATTAACTAATTACGGGCCGTTAAAAGTGCGCTTTATTATATACAATTTTTTTTATTAAGACTATTATTATAAAAAAATTAATTACTTTATTACTATTATTAACTTTAATATATATAATAAGTAAGCTACTTAGATAAGCGAGCTACTTACTTAACCATAACTATATTATTAAAATAGGATAGAGCGATTAGTCCTAGTAGTTCTTTTCTAAAACTGATTAAGTATAAGTATTTACGGGAGGGCTAATTAGAGTAAAATATAAGGAGAAAAGCCCCGATTAAAAATAGTAAGTTTAATAGTATAAATTTTTTATTTTAATTATATATATACTTTTTAAAATTAAATTAGAGCCTTTTTAATAATTTATTTTTAAATATAATAATATAAAATAATTAGGAAGTTTATTTTTCTAATTTAGCTAATATTATCCTCTTTCCTTAGTTATAATTCCGTTAATTAAGGCCGTATTAACCCGATTAAAAAAAGTATTTTATATTATTTTTATAAATATTAATAGTTTTTTTAAAATATTATATTACGAGAGTTCTTTATATTTTATATGTTTTTAATAATCTCCCTTTTTAAAAATCCCTTTTTTATTAAATAAGAGAATAAGTAAAAAAAAACTTAATTCGATTAAAAATATTTTAAATAATTAATTAAAGAAAATAATATAATAATTAAAATAAATATGGGTAGTAGGACTCTAATTTATAAAAAGTAATTAAATAATTAAGATATAACGGTAAAAATATATAAAAAAGGACTTCTTATTTAATAAAACGAGGGATACGATAGACCCTAAAAAATAAATAAAATAAAAAATAGAGGAGAATATAGATACTTAGGACCGGATCGGGCCTAAATATAAAACGCTATAATAGTATAAAAAAATAAGTAATAAGTTAGGATTAGAACTAATAGAACGTTTTAATAAGTATAACTAGTTATTTAACTAGATTATTCTTTATTAATCGATATAGCTTAGAGACTTAATAATAAACCTATTTAAAAATACGGATATATTAGACTAAGGGCGCTTATAAAACTAGCTTTTAACTAGACTTATTAATAATTTTAATTAGTATTATTATAAACCTAATATAACGTTCGATTAAAACTTTAGTTATATACTTAGTAGGGATTAAAAAGAACGGTTTAAATTATATTAATTAAAATAACGGCTACGCTCTAGTTATTAGGACGGCTCCTTTTGTTTTTTTTAAAACTTTACTTAGAGTAAATAGATTAATATAAAACTATTAAAATTATAAATAAAATTAACGAATTATACTTTTAATAAGACTTTTATATTATAACTAATAAGAGCCTAATTAAGGCCGTATATAAGCGGTTCTATATTAATATTATAAAAGAAGTAATAGAAGAGGTTAGGGTTATTTTAAACGGCTTTATTAAATTAACGAAGTACGCGAAGTTTAAAATAGGACTTTTTAATATAATTACGTATAAAAAGGAATATAGTTTACTTTTTATAAACGACTAAAGTTAACCCGAGCCTTTACTACGGCCCTCTACTTTTTAAGTATATAAAAATACTTAGTATTAGTATCTAAACTATTAATAATATTACTAATTAATAATAAAAGTCTAGGTTACCTAAGCGGCTATTAATAATATTACTAATTCTAACTTAGTTAACGGAATAAGTAAGCTAAATATTTATTAAAATAGTATTTATTTTTAAGGCCCTATTTATATATTTAATATAAGCACTACGCGTCTTAATTAGCCCCCGATTATAAGACCTAGGGATTATTATTAGTACTATTAAAGTTAATATTACTAAATTATTAAGGATTGCGATTAGTATATTTTTAATAAGGATACTTATTTTATTATTTTAGTTTAAGGAGCTTAGTATTATAAAAAGTATAACGGTTATAAGCTTATAAACGATATCTTTTTTATTATAATTAAAAATAAAAGAAGGTATACGATTATTAATTACGTTACTTTCCTTTTTTACGTAGTAAATATATTAATTAAGGAAAATACTAAGCTCTTAGTTAAATAGATTTTAAATTACTAAATCGGATTATTTTAATAAACTATACTTATACTCCCTTTAATTAATTTTATAAGTATAGTTAAATACGTTTACGTAGTACGACCTAATCTAAGTTACTATAACTAAGCGGACGTTTATATTATTTATAAGGGAAGACCCCTTAAAAACCGTATTTTAATAACTAAACCTTATTTTAAAAAAACGTATAAAATTAATAGCCTAAGCTAGCTTTTATAATTTAAAAAGAAAATAGTTTCTTTCTCTAATTAAAAAAAAAATTATAAAGATTAATAATAATAACGAAGTTTTTAAAATAATAAAAAACGTAACTCTTAGATTTATTTCTAAGCCCTAGCTTATTAAAGTTCTAATTAATACCCCTAATACTAGTACTTAGAGAACTTAAAAACTTTTTTTTTATAAAACTTAAAAAATAATAATTATAAATTAGCTCTGTAATTTTAATTTTAAGGCTAAAGTTAAAAAGCTAATAAAGAAAAGGTTTAAAGCTCCGATCTCGCTTTTTATAAACTTTTTATAAAAGTTTATACTAAAATATACTATAATAATAATAATTTTAATATATAATTAAAAGTATTTTAATACTAATAGAATCCTATTAAAAGCTCCGAAATCCTTAACTAACTTAATAAAAAACGGATAATAATAAAAAAATATTAAGGATCTTTTTAATAAGTATAATAAGAACTTTTTTTTAAAACCGAGTTATATAATTAAAATTAATAAAGTTAGAAGCGCTAACCCGATTTTTAAAATTTAAATTTTTATAATTTTAAATACCTATTTATAATTAAAAATCTAAATATTTAGCGTAAATTAAAATAATAAGGGTTTAATAATTATTATAATCCTAAATACCGGGGCGTAAGTTAATATCCTCTTAAAATAATATATTAAAAAAGCCGGTATTTCTTATATAATAACGAAGCTTTAAATATAAACGTTTAAATATAATCTAATTAACTAA